CCAGAAGCCACTTAACTGTGAGCGAGTTACAGTCTGGTGTGCGATGTCGGTAATGGGAATAATTGGTCCTTATTTTTTTGAAGAAAACGGACGCGCAGTTACCGTGAATGGAGCTCGTTACAGGAACATGATCGAGGAATTTTTTCTTCCGAGACTCGAAGAAATGAACGTTAGGAACGTGTGGTTTCAGCAAGATGGAGCCACAGCACACACCGCACGAGACTCGATGAATTTGTTGCGACAACATTTCCCCGACCGCCTCATCTCTCTCAGAGGCGATCTCCAATGGCCGGCACGATCTCCAGATTTGACTCCCTGCGATTTCTTTTTATGGGGTTATTTGAAATCTCTGGTTTATGTCGATCGACCACGGACCATAGCACACCTCAAGAACAACATTCGCGACGCCATTGCCAACATACCGATTGATATGCTGCAAAGAGTGGATACGAATTTCAAAAATCGACTTCATCAGTGTATGCGCAATGGAGGTCGCCATTTATCCGATGTCATTTTCAAGACTACATGAAAAAAAAATTGGGATATTGTATTCTCGAATAAAAAAAAAATAAAACAATAATTGAAGTAATTTTGTTTTTATTGACCTTTCAAATAAGTAAGTTTCTCTGGCGTACCCTGTATGACTGATGAGTTAGCGTAATTTCTAAATGTCATATTTGGAGAGTGATCGCATCTCATCATAGAGTTATTTGCGAGGTATTCATATTTTGTCCCTAATCTCATCAGTGACCAGAAAGTTACAAACATCGTTGTTTCTCGGACATCCATTGTCTATAAAGTTTTTTCGTTTCACGACCTTCCGATTGATGTGATTTTCAATCATCATCAGGTGAACTGACGAACATGCTCATTCCTTGACTATTTGTACCGTTTGATGACGTGACTGGTGTTCGGTTGAAACGTGTCCATCGTTCCGGTTGGTTCTCATCTCAAACATCCACATTGCCTTCAAATTTCCAACAATAAACATGTATCGTGACAGGAGGACTTTTTAGGACCCATATCAATAGGACCTCTTAATGTCGCTTTTGGACTTACTTTCTCCCCGAATACTGCTATTGTCTTCTGATGCAACAGGCTGTAATATTTATTTCCTAATATAGTCTTAATAATGAATCGATGACCGTAGAAAGTGTGAAGAACCAGAGACACCACAACAGTATAAGCTTAGCATGTTTCATTACTCTTGCTATTCGTGAGGTTAAGGCCACACATACGATATCTATACTAAATTATCTTCCTACAGTTTTTTGCCTGAGTCCAAATTAATTTTCGGCCAGTCCGTAGCGAGTCGAATTTTACCACGTAATCTGTTCCCACGCTGAGTTTTATGTGCGCGAAATTGTATCCATGTTATGTTTTTGATACGACCGAGCAAATACCGATAACCACGCAGTTCAAATATAGACATTTAAATTTTAAAGTCCTCGATGATGCTAGTAGCAGTTAATTGAAAAATAGCAGTAAAATAACTTAAAATGGGTTTCCCATCCAGGAGATCCCATGTCATATGTGTTACTTTATCTAGGCTAAGATCGGATAATCTAAACATTCCAGTGACCCTCACCCCCAATAATAGTTATGCTTCGAAAACAGTGTTAGGTCATACCAGATCTTGAGCAGGAATTTTTCCAATATCATAAAGGAGTTACACCATTCTTCGAACGGTGTAACTTACTGTACGCCTCACGCTCCAAGTTTGCGAAAGAAACCTGCCACGCTTCTAATTCTCATTCTTTAAGCTGGTCAAGTTTTGTTAATCATGAATAGGCAAGTGCGACTGCTTATTGATAGTAAGGGTGTCGAAAATCTGCAGCATCCTATCAGAAAACATGTTTTACTTCCCTTCAATAATTGTCAACTTTATAGCAGCCGCTTTCGCTTTATCCAAGCCTTAGTGGAAGCCTTTGTACATTGAAAAAATCAAGATCAATGCTATTAGCAGGATGTCAGGAACATCGATTACACTTGATAAGGTTGTTCTTAGCTGGAATATAAAATGCAAATTTAGTGATCAAACTGCAATCACAAGAAAAGTGGGTAAGCTAACAACCTAGAACTTGACTCTTGCTTGACGGTAACATAAAAATTCGCCTGCATTCGTTGAAGCATACCCAAATATTACTAATTACAGCATAGATGAAGAAAATATCCCTTTCTTCAACTTTCACCACAATATTTCCTTTTCAATATTAGAAATATACTTCTCTTTTGCTGAAAATCCTGTCTTGCCCCACGAACTATAAAAAAATATCACATTTTCTAAAATCTTCACAGACTGGTCCAAATCTGAGAAAGGAGTAGGGTGCGCCGTATTGTTAGAAGTCGAACAAGTGGTTCTAAGGTATGAACTGGATCCTATCTGACCTATTTCCACCGCCGAGTGAAGTGAGCTATAGATCTGGCTGTTGAGTGGGTAATCTGCAATAGCCCGTCATATGAAAAATTTCTTACAATGTCCGATTCACAATCAGCTTTTAAAATGCCAAAGTTCACATATATCACAACAGAATCATCTTCTCGATATTGGAGAAGGAGTATCGCTTAAGACAACTGGGCAAATCTGTAGCAGTCGGATGGATCAAAGGTCTTGCACGCACTGAGGGAACTGAAATGGCAGATTGACTGACTAGGGCAGCCGTCTTCTCTGGACAAGAAAGACACTACATAACTGGCCGGATGCAGTCTTGACATGGAAGCTTAAAATGAAGAGAGCTGGCAATCTGCATATGTTGATTTCTGTACCGACAGTAATAAAAAACACTGCAAGATCTATACAAGCCTCCCTAACACCCCTATAGAGCTCAGAAGCACACGAACAGAAGAGTACATTCTATATACTTTAGATGTCTGGCCGGATACGCCACAGTGAAAACTTATCTACGCCGTTTCTTTCTCGAAGAATCTGATACATGTAGCTGTGATGGGAGTAGTTTTTCTGATGAGTAAGCTAGCTGCACTTAGCGTTCCATTTTTTCCAAAGTCAAACGTCCCTTCTGTACCTAAGAACTCAAAGGTCAGCAGTTCGGAAAATTATGTGGGACTTCTTCGAGAGACCCAGTAGAATCTGATTAACCACTGTCAAGTATCCGGAGCTACAGAGAGATTGTTGTGTGATTGGAGTCAGTTTCTACCTGTGACTTTACCTATTATTTCTACTACCAGTTGCCTGTGTTGTCTGTTTAAAAAAAAAGTCGTCATGGTCGGCACCTTGACGTGAAACGTGTGTCCCTGTCCTCCCTAAATCTCGGTTTTTTTTCATAATATTCTCTCGTCTTGGTCCTGATTGGTGTATGTATGAGAACCGGTATAACACTGCTAGAAACAGATAATATAAACTTCAGAAGTTATTAGTAATGTGAGCATGTTTATACCATTTTCGTGGCTGAATAGGTTAGCATACCTAAAGCCATTAAAAATAAATAAGACCAGTTACGTTATAGTCCGGAAGTATGAGACCTTATCGGTCCAGCTGCTTCTCATCGGAATTGCCAAGTACGAAAATATTCAAAACATTTTGGAGTAGAGGCGATTATATAGTGCTTTCCTTATTTTTTGAACGCCTCAAGTTAGAAAATGAAAATTGGAGGACGGAGTTGCGGCTTGTCGCGTTGCCACCGGCGCACTCTTTCTAACATACATGCATATTGCACGCTTCTCCCGCTTCTCGCTCGTACACATACGTCAGCCAAATTTGAACCTCACCGTAGATGTTTTCACGGTTTTTGACAGGTCACTGAAAATCTACAGTAATTACTGTTACGCATGCTTCTCCCTTACACATAAATACGCAATACCTCAATGCGCGGACATTTGTTTGAGTAAGTTCACAAAAATGTTTTTTGTGTAGTTCTGTCTCACTGCCAGGGAAATTTTCGTGTCAACGTGCGAGTCTTCCACGTTTATGTTTCTCACTGCCAGTATGACAACTTGATTGTCATGCGTGTGCGATTACAGTTTGTCTTTTGTTGACCTTTGATGCACAGCATAGCAGAGCTTCAGGGTACAGCTACAATCTCGACAGAGTATGTTTTTAGCACAGTATTTTCAGAAAGTGAAAGAAAATGGCGAGTAGCAGCTGCAATAAGTCTTGAGCAGCGATCAACTTCCCTCATGGACAGTTACGTACAGTTAGCCAGACTGTTTACTTATTTTGTATCACATTGTGAACTAATCGTCAAAGATCGTGAAGAGACCAATAGATGAGTTTTTTAATGGAAATAAGGATCGTTACACGTTTGATACCTCTTTGTGACTTCATTGGTTTGTCTCAGACGAAGGGTTATTTTTTCATACGCTGGTATCTATGTATCCAAAAATATTATTTCATGGTCTACAGGACAAATGGCGTACTGGATTTTGACATATGAGGTGTTCAGATTTGTCTTGACAGTGCGCGTGACTGATACTAAAATTTCTTAACGTGGAAATAACGGACTTCAATCGAAAATTTTAGTTTGAGATTTCTATTTCACGGGCTGTTCTAGCTGAAACGACTCTGCCATGCGAGGCCTGTCAAGATTTGTCTTGTCAGCGCGAGTGACACTGGGTATACCTAAGCTTCATTTCATTGTAGACTTCCATCACGAAACTTCTACCTTGAGATTTCCATTTGGCGGGCTATAGATTAGGACCACGATTAAAATGCATTCTTTTCAGTTTCTGCAGCCAGGCATTTGTATTTCTTAAAAATCCAAAAATAATTTTGAAACTTTGTAATTTCTTTACATTGAATGCTTCATATTTGTTCTGTACTGTAGCGGTTTGTCCATTCATTAAGTAAGTCAATGCACAGAAAGTCCTTCATTTTCAAAGATAGCCAGCTGTATAGCATATTCTAAGATGAGGATGTATTAAATGACTTTCCTTGTCATTGAAAAATATCCAGTATGGCACACCGCTGCCATCCTGAAATTTTCAAATGTCACTTTTAGCTAAAATTCAGCTTTTATCATTTATGCATCACTTTTACCATACCGAATTTCATTTTGCTTGAACCGTACAGAAAATAAATGCAGGAATTCAAATCATTTCTTAAATATTTTTGGCTTATGTCCAGCTAATATTCCTCAAGTGGTGAAATCATATTTTATACGCTTTCCTTAACAAATATTCAGGAGTTTTGGTAGGTAGAGGTAACGCATTCGGTTTTATTATTAGTCTTATTATAATAATCTCTGAATAAAACGTATGTAGAATCAAGCACAAGATAACTTTGGTGAGTCTACGCTCATTTAATATGCTTTGTGTGGTCCTAACGTCCTAGTCATACTACCATTAATGCCTAGTAAAATCGAAACATCTGCTGATATGAAAATTAAAATAGTACCTCCATTCTGAAAGGCCATTACCGATGATTTGTTTTATATAACTGATAAGCTATTTTTAAAAGGGCAGAGGGTGGGTCATGTGGAAGACTGAAATGTACAGCGATAACAGGAGTTAATCTCATGCATTATCGTATCTCTGAGGTGAAGGGTGAATAACGGTTCCGTTCTTTATTCCAGCGACTACAACGGATGGTCTTCGATAAATTCAAGGTCATCAATTCGAGACAAAGAATATGTTTCTAAACATAGAGTACAATTAATATTTAACCTTTCCAAAAAGACAAAGAAACCATGCCAACATCACCAATATTAGTGTTTGTCGGGCTAAATAGAAGTGAAAATACCCCTTTAAAAAAATATTGACTATATCTCGTGAACGTTGGACAGTTTTTTAACATGTCCGGTCTAATGGGTTCTCTAGGATGACCACCAATTGTGTTGTGACTACAATAATTACTGATTGCCTATGGCTTAGCGTTTTTATCATCAATGAAACGATATCCAAAAGTTAGCTCATTTGGTGGGAACATCAGGTATAGTCACACTGCAGTATGGAAACGTTCAACTTGTGATGTGAGACTTTGTGTCAATCACAACAAAGCATGTTTTGTTGGATTCCATAAAATAATGGAATCTTTAATATTTTCACTCATTTGAAGCTTACACTGCTACTATAACTCCTTTTTATCTTGGTGTAATAAAGTATAGTTAAAAAATATCATCTATTGTTGCCATTTATTGGTATATATAAGTGCTCCCTAGATTCCTGGATCCGTATCCTCCAGGAAAACCACAATACACACCAACGAGAATCGTAGGGGGTGTAATGATGTGAGACTTTGTGTCAATCACAACAAAGCATGTTTTGTTGGATTCCATAAAATAATACAAGCCGCTATGAACCTGCATTCTAGCACTCTCTTGTGATTTTTTATTATTCAGGAACATCCCAAATGTACGTGGTGACTCTGGGTGATAACATTATCAGTTTTTTACCATCCTCCATTGTCTGGTATGGTCTACTGTGAGTTTAATGCGAAAAAAACAAAAACGATGGAAATACATTACGTAGCAATCTTGACACAAATGTCATGTTCGTTTTCCCCACTATTTCGGAGCGTATAACACCGAATAAAAAGCTGGTACATGAGGAGGCAGGGGATTTCAAAAATGAGTAGATCAGGTGCATGACACTCTAGAGCACTGGAACGGTAGTGACAGGTGGTGGGTAGCTCCGAGTTACTCCGAGTAACACAAACGAGACACTGGAAAGTACCTCACGTCGAGTCTCTTCATCCTCAAGTCAGTGTTGCCATTTATAGAACAGATGACCTGTGTTTTTGGTAGGAAAATTATGAATGACATGTAATTTTATATTCACTGGTACAATACGAGTATAACGCCGATTTCTTAGACAAAAAATAAATTTCGCCTAAAAGGGTTAGTGCTTCGAGGATTACTGGTGTGCAAGCTTATAAAGCATGTATTTTTTACAGAAACTAAAAGGAATTCTATCCTAATATAAGCAACGAAGTTTTTAGTAAATATTATTCACGTATGACCCCAGGTGCGGAGAGATATTTTCAAATTGTTATATGGATTTCTATCACTCAGATTTTCAGAGCTAACGAGATACCGGAAAACAATATTTTTATTTGGTAAGAGATAATAGTTGAATAAATGCAATTAGTAGAATATTAACTTATACTGTTATCAAGAGAAAAGCATGTCGCGTCCCATATTCCTCGATATGTTGTGCGCGACCCAAGATTCATCCCATTTAATAATTAAATGGTATAATTGGTGATTTAAAAATATTGACCTAGATGTGGTAATGCGTCTAAGAAATCGTGCGGACAACAAACAATGAAAATAGCGCGTAAACATTATATGTGTAAACGATCAATGAACCTGATATTTTATTTAGAACTTACTGTTAACGGGAATAATACATTCAAGGTATACACAATAAGGAAGTCAGGTAATTTATGTTTCTTAGAAGGAAATTTCAGCAAACAATACATCAATTTATGTAGATTTGATTGCTGTAATACGATGAAACCTAAGATTGTTTTTAGTAGTTCATACATGAGAAAATTTACATATCGAAAATATCAGCACTGTTCGGATATAGCAGAGTGGGCATGGCACCGTCATAGGCGGGACAACTGGGTCAGCTACCTGAGATTGGCTTCCTCGATGAAAAAAGCATCCTTTGAAGTTAATGTACAGAAATATGTATACACCCAACAACTAAGGCGTACTTCAATGCTTCAAAGATATAATTAATTAGTAGGGTCAATCTGCTGAAGAAATGATATACGCGAACACGTCGCTACAATAATTGTTGGAAAGATTCTGTTTCTAAGAATTCCTGCATTTCAACACCTTACAGTTCTGCACAAAGCTAAAACCTACATAAGAAATCTATTATGCCCCTTACTTGGAAAATATGTCGCCATTTTACAGATGAACTCATAAGTACATGCAAGCCCAAAAAAAGTACATTTTGCGTTTATAAACATCCTGCATTGGATCTGTACAAATTAAAAAAAAAAACGTTTCAATAACGAGAAACCATGGTATATAAAGCTCGGTGTGACGAAAAGTTTCTGCTCTATTTGCAAAATTGACTTGACTTACAGGCTGCCAGGATTGGGCGTTTCTTTCTCTATCCTCTCTATCCCACAGCTCCAGAGGTAGCGATCTCAGTATGTTATAGATATATATTATATAGTAGTTAAACTTCTAGGCTTTTCACAGTGCACTAAACTATACAAAGTATATGAATCACCTTGTAGAGAGAGAGAGGCATATTTTCCAAAGCCTATAGTTTCTGAAAATATCTATTTTTGATAAATATTATAGTAACGGAGCTTTGCACCAACTACAAACTAAGGAGCCTTCCTGTATAAAAAAACTAGACATTAGTTCGTTTATTGATAGTACCTCAAAAATGTTGAACAATCTACCAGATAAGGCTTTTCAGACTTCCTCTGTTCTTTACACGATCAAGACTCATATCAGGGGTGCGTTTGTAAATCACTTGCTAATCTAATACCGTACGAGTACATAGTAACGGAATGCAGATTGACAGATGAAATTTTACTCTGGAATACTGTGAAACTTTATTTTTAGAACGCCTAAATCATTACAGTCATGTAATGACACTTGATGACAACCGACTGATTTCTAACCATGTTTTCTGCGACCATTGTAATTATTATAAAAGACCCTAGAGATACGAGGTAGCATTTATCATGAAAAATGTACATTTTTTAGGTATCTATATCCTGCAAATTTTGATAATCAAATAAAATAAGCAAAGAATGAACCAAGAGAATGACAAAAGCATGCAACAGGTACGTCAAACAATTACGAAGGCTAAAATTGTTACAAGCCTGCTTTGGTGTAAAAAAGGTTAAATTTAAGGAACCCATGTAGAAACAATATGATAAATAAACAACATTTGCTAATATTGCGAGAGTTTCATTTTGGCCTAATATCGCCAATATGAGAAAAGTTCTGCTAAGCTGTAGCATCTCCTTTTACTTCCCATTCCACTGTCGAGAAGTACTGTAGTCCCGAAAATGAGATACAGGGTCCGTCAGAAAGAACGCATGTTTTTCGAATGGGTAGATACTATATCCAGTGGGCTGGTGTCGGTGGGGATAGTGGGAGAAGTGCCGTTTCAGTTGGCAAGATGGTTTGGAACGTTGAGCATCGTGTGTTCACTGTACGTCGGTACTTTCAAAATGACGAGTCTGTCGTTCGAACACAACGTGAGTTTCGCGTTCACTTTCGTGTTACAGTACCAGACCGTAACACCATTTTGAGATGGGACGAAGCATTCAACATAACAGGTAATGTGATGAAGAAGAAACCGCTAGGGCGAAACCGTACTGTTAGAACCTCCGAAAACGTATACAGAGTGAGAGTTGACTGGCTGTAAAGCCCGAATCGCTCCGTCTGTTTGCGTGCCAGTTCCCTAGGGATCCACGCGTCCTTTGTACATTGCATCTTGAAGGAGGATTTAGTGTTCCAAGACGTCTTATTTTACGTCATGGCGACCTGTCAACGTGTGACTTTTTTTAAAGGGCTACATGTAATCAAAAGTTTACCAAAGCAAGCCTCGGACCCTTGTTGATTTTAAGGAGGAAATAAGAAGAGAAGTAACCCAGTAACACGGATGCTAGCCGACATATTTTTTATAAAATAAATTTTGTTTTATTCAAAAAAATGACATGTATTTCTGAGTATTTTGATATAATAAAATATGTTTTCCCATACTTATTTTGACTGTACTACTCATTTAAAAAACATGCGTTCTTTCTGACGGACCCTGTATTAGGCTTTTTGGATATGTATCACGAAAGACCTTGACACTCATTATCGTCGGTCTGACTGTCTATATGTTTGTCCGTTAATCTCTGGCCCGTCTATAACTTGGAAAGTATTGTTCGGGTTTCAATAAAACTTTCACACAAGCTTACTACTATACCAAGGACGAAAAGGTTTTATGATAGGGACGTTTGTTGATGCTACACCGACCCTCTGCTCTCCCATTTTAAGAACCGAGTGGTACACATCCAAGGTGCAACCCTTTTCATTTTTCAATATACCGACAAGTTTGTGCTTTATGTTTACCAAAATCTATGGAAAATTTTGGTATAAATCTCCCGAAAGCTAATTGGGGTAGGGGATTGAAAAAATGTCTAGCGTTATCGATTGGTAGGGATGGTGAACGAATTGTATGGACCTGTTTGGCTTACTTGAACCATTTACTTTTTCTGTTATACATGTTCTTAGCTAACTTATACCTCAGAGAAGAAAACCTGTATCGAACATGATGCTTTACGAACCTGATGACAGCGTCGGGTGAGAAGTGCAGAGTCAATCCACTTGACGCCATATTTCCTACGCCTCTGGGGGAGAAAACATTGTGATTTCAACCAAGAGCAAAGGTCCTACGGACCGCTCTGACAGACAATGACGAATAGTATAACATTGTGATTATAAAATTTCGAAAATGAGATATTGTGTTTATGTTATAATACATGTACATCAAGAAAAACCATGACAACTATTTCCATCTGTCTGTCTGACGGTCGGTCCACTAACCTTTGGACAGCCTATAATTTGGAAAGTACTGATCGGATTGGGACGAAATTTTCACACAAGGTTACTACTATGCCAAGGACGAAAAAGCTTTGTAGTAGAGAACCATGATCATTCAATTTTCGGGGACTAGCAGTTAGTACGTTTCCGTCCCTGGTAATTCTGCGCACCTATAAGACATATTTCATACATCAAAGGTCTCCCCGGACAGCTTAACGAGCGCACGTCTCTGCTTTGGATCGTGAGGGATCACCGAGCGATAATCCGTGTATTTGTGTATATAACCCCGTGCTGAATTGTGACGTGGAAGGTC